GTCCATGGACTCTTAAATCCCTTAAAAGTTGTTTACTTTGTGGTAAGAATGATTGTGTAATTTCCTAGTCATCGTCCGATGTAATATAAATCGTATGATGTTGTCAAGCATTAACTCTAAGGAAAACCGTCTATGTTATTAGACCGTGTTTATACAATGCAAATGACCGCGACGATAACAACAAATCAAGCCTTATCCCATTAAGTGCGGTCGACTATATGCATCCCATTACAACATTTCGGTCAATCCTTGATTTGATCCCCCATACCTTTACTTTTCATCTCCTTCCATGTTCCCCCTCCTAGGTTTGCCCCCTCTCTTCTAACTCGCGTTCTCGCCCGCCCTCAAATCTCTTCGTTGGAAAATCTCAAGGTCTTCAACCTTTTCTCATGTTTATATCAATGGGAGCAACACCAATCTTTCTTCCGATTACGTTTATTTATACCATTATCTTTTGTCGTAACGCCCATCGAAAGAAGTATTCACGTCTCCATCACACTCATTTCAAAAAGCAACGTTGGCCTCATTGTTGTCCTTCAGAATTTTCTGTTGAGCCGAAGTGGGTACTCGACGGTAGCACAAAACCCCAGGGGCACCCGCGCCTGTGGTCACGACCCGTCCTAATTTCTCCGATCCTGGCTTGGTCTAAAGGAGTTTCTTTCGCTGCGATTTGAATTCATCAATCTCTCGATTCTGCAGTTTGATCTCGAGTCTTAACTAAGTCGAAGAGATCATCGCTTCGTTACAATTGAATCGATCTTTGCGTGGTGATCATTGTTTCTGTTTCGATCTTGATGGAACTGGATCTACCACAACCCCGATAAAAAAAAAAAGATCAATGAAGTAAAGGCCCAATTGCCTGTCCTGACATGGCCCGGACTGGAGAATGTAAGTGGACCGGACCAGTCTCTGTTGCGGAGGTGGACTTCTAGCTCTAGACTTTAGAACCAGATTGCGAACTAGCAAGAAAATAAATATACGACCCAATTAGCTAGACTACGAGACTGTTTGGTATAGTTTTCCTGCCGTATTTTCTACTGTGAAAACGAGCACGGCGGCTTCTATAAGGTGTTTGGCAAATACCGCGCGGTCGCAACACACCTCCAAAACTGCAGCAGCTGACATCAATTTTTAGGAAGTGGCCTCACCTGGTTCTAAAATATGGGTACCGAGCATACATTCAAGTCAAGGCTATACCAAATGAGTTTGTATGGGATGTGGAGCAGAGGCATGAGTTCCCAGAAAACAGTTGCGCTCGCGATTGTCAAGCGCGAATGACTAAGAATTTCGAGGAAGATCCTTGTGTCGAGAGTCGGAGTAATTCAACAGAAAACAGGTATTGAATGAGAAATATCCTCCCCCAATAAACCGGTTCTCGTTCGTCCCTTCCTTCCTTCCTTGACCCCTCTCCCTCCCCCAAACGGTTTCGATTAAAGCATACGTATGCTCTAAAAAACGCTCTGAGGAGATAGGAATTTTCACTGTTAATCAAGGAATCTGGGACCTGTCTGGAAAATCATTTACTTCTCTTAGCCAAGCTTTTCCGCTTCAAAAATTCTAAAAGATGATAAAACTTGGGGAGAAAGATATAAGGTGCGAAATCGATTCGAACCGATCCGCCGCTAACCAGAGGAGAACGTGGGATGACCGCACTAGCTGAACGGAAAAGAATGGCCAACTGGTCACATTTTGTCCCACCTTCCTTCATCTTGCATTCATCTAATTAAGTTGGAAAGTTTGTACCCTCCTTTATCGCCGCGTTAATTAAAACTATCTATTTAAAATTATTTCCCCGAAAACATACACTTGAATATCACCGAAATGAATCCACCTGCACATGGCCGAGTTAGTGGACGCTTTCCTTTCCTCCTCAGAGATTATGGATTCGAATCCCCGCTTGGTTCCGTAATTTAAATGGGGAGCCATGGCAGTGGGTTACTAGGCTAGTCTCCCCCGAGGTATAGGTGCCCCGATTACCTGTGCGGGCTCGTTTACGGGAAATGGTGGCGAATCCTCGGTTACCAAAAAAAAAAAAATCACCGAAATGAAAAATTTCTTGTCATCTTAGTTCCTAGTGTGTACTTCACTGGTATCATATTGCAAAAGATCATTTTTTATTCCGAATTCTTAGATATGCGAGAACCCTATTCTTCTCCTCCCCCCCAAAAAAAAATCTGAGATGTAGGAAAATTATATTATTAATTTGTGGTGATTTCATGATAAGAAAACGAGAGAACATCGCACGACGGAACACGCACGCCATGTAACCATTATACAGTCGAGTAAGGCAGTTTACGTCCTTTAATATATATATATATATAAACGAGAAATTTTCTCATGCTTGCAATGAGAGAAAGTGCAATAGAGAAAAAACTTAAATGCTTGAATGAATCGCGCCGAATGTTTTGATGATTTGTTCGATGGTGAGTCACGTGTCAATAATAATTCAATCCTGGGTCGCTTGTTCTTGGCTCGCATGTTCACTTCTAATCTTCTGTGTCGGGCGTTTTCACATTACCAAAGATGGAACGCGCTCTACAAAGCAGGTGGGATAAATATCTCAAATTAACCAGCGATGTGTTACGGGAAAAAGCGCGTGGGACTAAAAGGTGCAAGTGGCGCCCGCGGAGGGAGAGAGGGCCCTATTTTCTTTATTCCGAAAATAAAGACATAATCTTTTATATGTACGGCTGGAGAAAAGGGTCAGGTTAGGTGAGAAGGGACCAACTAGGGTTGCTCAAAGAGAATGTGACGGAGGGTTTCGGCAGAGTCGTGACAGGCTGGGCAATTTGGCCCGAGGACAAAAATTCTGAGAACGAGATTGAGACTGTCCATATGATTTTCCACATTGTCAGGAGAATGAGCAGGGAAATGGTGACATTGATCGGTCAGCTATCCGGGTTTTTAAATGCGGTGTTTTTAAATGCGATGTCAGCAATCGGGATAATGACACAAACAATCTTTGAACTTTGATCCAATATACAATTTGATTTCTGAACTTTTAATTTGTTCAATGTAGTCCCTGAACTTTAGTCTAATATTCAATTTGGTCCTTGAACTTTTGATCTGTTCAATGTGATCATGAACTTTTAGCACATGTTCAATTTAGTCCCTGAACTATATGAAAATGTTCAATATAGTCCTTGCACTTGAATTAATAGAAAGACTACATTGAACATTTTCATAAAGTTCAGGGACTAAATTGAACACATACTAAAAGTTCAGGGACCACATTGAACAAATTAAAAGTTCAGGGACCAAATTGAATATCAGGCTAAAGTTCAGGGACTACATTGAATAAATTAAAAGTTCATGGATCAAATTGCACATTGAGTCAAAGTTCAAGGACTGTTTGTGTCATTTTCCCTATGCAATCTGGAGTAAATACATAGTAAAACGGAAGATTATGTCTTTGTTGTTCTTTTTTCCATTTGGGAAACTATGTAAAGTACAGATATCGAAATTTAACCATTTGGGAAACTATGTGAAGTACAAATATCGGAATTTAACGTATGAGACACTGTTAAGCAAATTGTTAGTAGAACAAAAGTGCCCAAAATTCCCAAAAAAAGGCCATTAGAATAGAAGAAACATGTAGACGAGACAAGACACAATTGAGAGACGAGCACGAGAAGGATACGGAAAAATCAGCAGATTAGAAAAAGGTGTAAATAAAAATGGACAAAAATAGTAAAGAGAAGGAGAAGAATGAGATTTAAGATAGAGGGAATTAAGCACACATTCCCTCCTAATTTTCGATTCACTTTCTTAATTTGCTTGTTCGGATGCGTTTTTCTTTTAATTACTAGTAATTGACTTTTTCCCACATTTGAACTGGAGTTCTACTAGTTTAAAAGCGTAAAAATATTAATTGTTAACTAAGGGAACAACAATATAACCTATTCACAAGAATACACAAATACTACTAAATAATAATAATCACTACCATCAGCAACATCATCTTCATCATCATCATCATCTAGCTAACAAGAAGAAGAGCAATTTAGACCACAAAGTCATCAATATTGTACCACCAATCAATTCAGTAGATACTAAAACAAAAAGTGATACATCCAGAAGTATCACGGTGAGAAAGTTGCCACCATCTTGAACACAAGTTAGGCATACCATAAATAATGCAGCAGAAGAACGTCGTCATCATCTAAACATCCATATGCAGTGCTTTTTATCGTCCAGATCTCACAACCAAGATATCACGGCCAGCATTTTAATCAGAACAATCACCTCCATGCTTGACCAACGCAATAATCCATTTATAGATACGAAAACTACACACCCCAATTCTTTAAACTCAGAAAACTGACTCATGACACCATCTCTTAATAGAAGTCAATCCAGGAATGACAAGGTCACACACCAAAAAGACAACAAGAACAACAACATGAAGGGTCTACAACAATCCGTCTGTCTTCCATTACTCAAGAGCAGAATTACTGAAGAAAACACAGATTGAAGAAGCAGCCTGCATTTATTCACATGTTGCACTAAGAAATCATTATTCAAGTGCGAACCCTAGTCAAAGTAGAACTCACTTTCTTCATGACTGCATGTTCACGAACTCCAATGGTACCCTTTCGCCACCTCGTTGTCACCGAGATAATCTTCGTCATCATTTTAATCAGAACAATCACCTCCATGCTTGACCAACGCAATAATCCATTTATAGATACGAAAACTACACACCCCAATTCTTTAAACTCAGAAAACTGACTCATGACACCATCTCTTAATAGAAGTCAATTCAGGAATGACAAGGTCACACACCAAAATGACAACAAGAACAACAACATGAAGGGTCTACCACAATCCGTCTGTCTTCCATAACTCAAGAGCAGAATTACTGAAGAAAACACAGATTGAAGAAGCAGCCTGCATTTATTCACATGTTGCACTAAGAAATCATTATTCAAGTGTGAAACCTAGTAAAAAAAGAACTCACTTTCTTCATGACTGCAAGTTCACGAGCTCCACTATGCCCCTTACGCAACCTCGTTGTCACCGAGATAATCTTTGTTATCATTGTCATCGTCCTCTGGAGCTTCCTCGTTCAGATCCAACGCCATGTGGATCTTCTTCCTCTGAGCCTCCGCCGCCAATGAAGAAGCACCGCCCCCAGCGAGGGCACTGCCGTCACCCTTTGTCTCCCTCCCCTCCATCGTGTCCAACTTTCTCTGCCCTAAGTCCAGCAAGATCGTCGCGAGTTCTTCCGCCTGCTGCTTCTGCGGGGTCTTATGCACGCGCATGTGCCCATAGACGGCCTTCGGACTTTTGAACGATCTCCCGCACAGGCTGCACAGGCGGCGCACGCCCGAAGCGTCCAACACTGCCTTCTTACTCTTATTTTTGCCGCCCTGCCCTTCTGCTTCCCTGCCTTTCTGGCTCTTGCTTGGGGGCGGAGGAGACCCTATGGTGGCGGCAGAGGAACCGCCTGCGAGGGCTGGTTCTTTGCCCCATTTCATGCTCCTTCCCCCATCGCTGCCGGCGGCACGGCCAGGCGCAGCAGAAGAGCCACTGATCGGTCCGCCTCTGGCACGCAGCGGGGCTGGGGGAGACACCTGTCCATCGTGGCCGATCATCTCGTCTTGCTTTGGGTCGGGGCAATTCTTGCAGGAGAGGAAGATTGTGTCAAAGGAGAAATGACGGAAAAACTAAATGGACTAGTTTTTGGTGCACTATATAATTAAAAGCTTGCATCCAAATTAAATTGCCCTTGATGTGAGTAGTGGAAAAATAAGGAATGCAAGTTAATTTTATAACCACGTGTTGAGCATCGAAGGTTGATATGTCTTACGGGATAAGTGATGGACAAACTCCACACGTTCAAAGTCAAAAATAAGCATATCACCTAATTCCAACTTCTATGTCGCCGGTTTAGTAGGAATCGTCCCAATCTTCTCCATATTGCCATATTGCCACATAACGTATTACAAATTTAATACAGGAAAAGGAGGTATCATACTATGAATTTTAGCAAACCAAGTTTGGTTCGCAGAACTCCATATCATGGTTCTACCATTGAGAGGACTATAACAATTAAACTCTATGTTCTTGAAAGACGAGAGAGCCTTTATTTTGCATATAAATATGTTTTATTCCATAACTCAAATTCGAATTTAGAGATTCGTAAGTATGGGCCTGTGGCTGACCATGCAACGGATTTACAAGTTAAATGCTGTCAAATTAAATCTTTATCCCTTCAAAGTGCATTTTGGGGGAGATTTATCTTGGGAACTTTTGATAAATGAGAAAATCAGATTATTTCCCAAAATAACTATTGTTAAGTGAGAGGACTTCAATTTTGGAAATAAACGAGTGTTTATTTGCGTAAACTCTAATTTTAAACCTATCTAATTTTCCGAAATGAGAGGACAACCATTACTTATTACCCAGTAATCAATACTCAAACAGTAACCTAAGAGAAGATGATTAATGGCAAATGGCGGCCTCGCAAGTTCGCGCTCTGTCTATCATATCACTTTATTTCAAATTATTAGTTTTTGTTGAAGGATTAATGGCACAGATGTAATCATATGTTTCTCTTGTACTTATCAACGTTAACCGTAGTCGAACAATAAACTACGGAATCTAAAAAAGGTCATTATTAGTAGGTCCTCTAGTTTCCTTCTTTTGTTTTTTTTTTGGTCGAGTAGTCAACTATTCAATAAATTATAGCGGCAAAAAAGAAGGGAAATTATGGTACAGGTCAGTGAGCAGACACTGCTAATAACTTTCTCTCTCTCTTTCAATTTTCTCCATGAAATGGAACAAGTCGGTGTAAATGGTCTAGGATTTTCAAGAGAGAGGGAGAGAGAATGAATAAAGACTACATCTTTACTAAATTGGCTTGACTTTACAAGTTATTAGAAGAGGGTTATTTATACCCGAACAATATGCATAGGAAAAAAAATTAGCTATCTTAGAGAATGACCAAATATTAAAGAATATCCCTAATATCTAATAATATCTCTAATGATACTCTCTAACAAAAAAATCTCTAATCTCCATAAATATGCTTCATCAGTAGGAAACATAAAAATTAGGTGGGGAGGGAGGGGGCGGATTGAAATTTGCTCGGCCTGATTTCTTCGAATAAAAATGGATGCATGGCCAACCATTTAAATGTTTTACCCCTACTGTCTCCATTTTCTCGGGAAAAAAAATTATTTTGATTAGTTGTCAGCTTTCCATATGATATAAACGGAACCCAGCCATACAAGGATGCATCCCAAGAAAACCTCTGGTAATATTCTCGTGGAAAAAGATTTATCTTTGAGAAGTTTCATTTATGATAACATCGGATATTTCCCAAATAACTACCGTTAGACGAGAGGACCGCCATCTTTGGCAAGACAGTAGTGCCTTATGTGTATCGGTCTTGTCTTTGGAATTTTCGAACAAACGAACCCCACACGCCTGTCCAATCTGAGCGCAAACAAAAACAAGAAGAGCGCTGACAATTTTTTGTTTTCCTAGAATAAGGCCACACATTCTTCTCTAGATACCATCCACATGGCAACAATTCTTCGTTTTTCGTGGCCCGTGTTAGTGAAGCCCCCAGGAGCGCTCCGACCGACGTACGGATCGAACACACAACGCTACCTAATCAATGGGAAGGCCCATAAAAAATAATAACGCTAACGAAAACAAGAACGAGGAATGTAAGGATCAGGTGCGTCACGCCCCACGACAGCAGGAGCGACCGCCGTTGAGGACCAAGAAACCGAAACAAAGCCGTCGCGAGTCGGGACGATCCAACGGTCTCGCTTCACTGACCATCGCGTTTGACAAAAGATAAAAACCAAAAAAACAGGAAAAAAGGAGGGTTCTTTCTTCTTCATCTTCTTCAGACATCGCAACCCTTTATTTTCTCTCTCTTGCTCGTAAGATCAAAGAGTCGATGCACTCTCTCTAGATCTCTGGGTTGTGGGTGTTTGACGCGAGAGAGAGAGTTTGTGTTTTGAGGAGTTAAATCGTTTTTCTTCTAGATGAGTTAGCAAAAAAGAATGGGCTTATCTGATGAGAACAACGCTGCGCTGAGCAAACTCACAAATCTTCAAGGTAAAATAAAAGCTTATGTTTTTTGGGTTTTGTTCCTGTGCAGTTAGATTTTCAGATTTAATCTTCAAGGTAAAATAAATATCAATTATTTTGGTTGTTGACAACGTGTGTAGGGCGGGGGGACCTTTTCGGGCGTTGAAACGCAGAAAAGACGCAGTGTGCGGGAAGAATCGGGTGGGATCCTGTTCGCAGAGCAGTCGCAAGTCAAGATTTTTTTAGACCCCACCTTTTTCTTTTTGTTTTCGGGACTTTTCTGTTTACGGGTTTGGTTGATGGGTGTAAATGGAAAAATTCACGTCGCCAGTGGTGAGGCGCGCGGCAACTTCGCCCCGAGGTTCGGTGTCTTTGTCTTTTTATCTAGAGAAAATATTGGGTGGTCCGGAACCTTCACGAAGGCACGGTCCCGGACCACTCAGGAAGCGCCGCATGGTCCACGTGGTGCTTGTGGGGCCGACTCGCCAGCCCCACGGTTTTCTTCGCAAAAAATAATTTTCATCCTCTTTCCTAGTCTGCGCGCTAGCCCTCTCCCTCTGCTCTGTATTTCTCTCTCCTCTCCTCTCCGTCCTTTCCTTTCCTTTCCTCGTCAGGAGACGAAGAAGAAAAGCAAATATATTTCCTCTCCAGCGTCTCTCTCTCCAGCAAACGCGCTTTCAAATTTTGAATCTCTTTTTTGGCTCTCAGATTTTGCTTCTCTGCTCGTTTCTACTCCGGCGTTCGTCAAGCGGCCGTTCCCCGCTCGTTTCTACTCCGGTGTTCGTCAAGCAGCCGTTCCCCGCCGTCACCGACGAAATTGGCCCATTTGCTTATGAAGGAGACGTACAGAGAGAGAGAGAGAGAATTGAAGGAGACGTCTTTTGGTTTGACTTTTCGGGAGTCATCCTCGATGGCCCATTTGCTTCTGAGCTGGATCCATGGCGAAGATTCCAGGAAAACGGATCTGCAACCTGCAAGTCTAATTTTGCTTTCATTCCGCCCTGCATAAAACGATTTGGGGTAATGAGTAAATGACCCTGATTGGATATCGAGGACATCGTAACTTCCTGTTTTGTACTCATCGAATCCGACCCGAATTATGACCCGACCCGCTTTACTGGACCGGTCAACTGGTCGGACAGGCGGTCAGACCGGTTTGGACCGGCTGACTTTGAGTCTTCATGCGCCGCGTATGCCGGCGGCGCATGAGGGCGAGTCCAATGTCCGATTTGGACGTTTTTGGTACCGCTGAGCTCGTATCAAAATTCTCTATACTGTGATATATTTATTTTACATATTTGAGGCTTTTAAAGATGTGAAAATATATATAGAACCCTATATACGCGTATTTTTAGGGTATTTTTGCGTATTTCTCTATGGTTTCGAAAATATATATGGTAGCTCACATGTACATCACCACATAAGCAATGTGTAGAGTGTAATTCATTGTCTATCAATGAATGGAGCAATGTAATTGGCATAGCATGTGATTTTAGTGACAAATTGTCCATGTCTTCAAGAAAATCACATGTATATAGTTAATGTGAGACATAAGTTTATATCCCTGAAATGAGAGATTTTTAAGAATTCAATTGGGTTGTGACCGCTAAAGTGGCATACTTGATTGAGTTTGAGAAATATGGTGGGATGTCTCCTATTCTAATACATGGTCATATTGCCAAAGGAGGTGATCATATATTAGTTTATAGAGGCACACATGTACAGCATATGCTTGAGGAATGACTGATCCTAGTGGTGCATACACTCAAAGGTGGTGAATTCACAAAAGTTGGAATATATTATTATGGCCGTTATCATGTGGAGAGTATACAACTGCATGCATATATTCTGCCCAAAGGTGTTTGTATGATGATGTATGTAGCTCTTAGGATGTGTACTTATCCCGTTTTAATTTACACGGTACTCACATATAATGCTAATTGTATACATTGCTTACAAATTAGTCACTTTTTTCTGAAAATGGCAAGTCTATTAGGAGTGAGGTTTTTTTTGGTTTGAACTTTAAGATATGGTAAGAGGATTTTCTATTTGGGATAGAGCTAGCGGATGTTTATATTGCTCTTATTAAGGCCATCAGTACGAATCTTGAGAAAGCACATTTTGCTACTTGGGAAAAGAGTAATAGGATTTGCTTACTATCAATGAAGCAATCCATTCAGGAACATTCTAAGAGTAATTTGCCAGCTGACTGCACTGCTAAACAAATGATGGAAGCCTTGGTGGTTTGGAATCATATATCGTCAAATGCTGAGATCGGAACACATCTACAAGGACTCTTCAACACGATGTATGTGGTTCTGTTGGGGTTAGCGCATGAAGAATAAGAGGTCACAAAATCGTACTCAATAAATGAACTCATGAAATCACCGATCAATCTGACTATCTGGATCCTAAGAAAGCATCCTTTCAGAAGGATGGTGACCGTGCTTTTTTTATAAGAAGAGAGATCACATAAAGAAAGATTGTAACAAATATAAAACTTGATTGTCCAAGCGTGAGCATACAGTTATGATTCTTTGGCATT